AGTAGGCCTGATTCGCATAAAAGTATTTGAATCGGTGTTGTCCGGTATACGAGTAGAATAGGTCCAGGGTCCGCCATAACGACCTTGCGTAGAGTAGACATATGTCCTTTGACTCGGTTGAAGATAGTCTGTTGGTAAACCTATTGAGACCCGGCCATCAGGTCTCGACTCCATAATAATCTGCAGGGAGGACACAAGATGTTACTGCTTTACGGACAAGTTGAGGAGAGACTCCTCGCATGGTGTTGCTTAGGGACCGGAGAGCGTTGGCTATCTTAGGTGCCTTATCAGAGAGGATGGGAAAACGCCATTTGAAGGAGAGGGAAAGATCGGAGTGGACCATGAGCCAGCAGGTATAAGGCCTGGCTGTGTTTTCAGAGATCAAATACCCTCTGCACAATAACGAGAGGGTTGTTGATGTATTGCAATCGGCTCGTCTCCTAGAGAAGTGTTGAAGTTCTAGTTTTTCCGGGTCGATTGTAAAACCTTCCCTTTCTCCCCAGTCTAACGCTTCCGCCAGCGAATGAGAGAGACTTATGTAGTTACTTCGGCTTCCTTCAGTACAACAAAACTACGTACAAAATTTTAGCCGAGTCTTTGGCAAGATTCGGTCGTAAATTTGGCCCCTCCAACTCTAACTGTCAAGATTTTCCCAGAAACCTTCTCATTGAACTTTTTCCCGAGAACCTATTAAAGGTCTAGGGGGTATCTGGAATGATAGAAGTGAACGTTGACCGTCAAGTCAAGTCAATACTGTACAAATCGTAAGACATTGGGGATTTAAGGATCAGAGCTAAAAGGTTTGGTTCAGTGAGGTTTTCGGTTTTACTGAACTTATATTTAGGTAGTTAAAAGTGTTTTAGTCTAACCTACATCTGATTGTCTTTATTTGTTCTACCTCGCTTAGGTAGAAACACTATGTTCTGATTACGTGATGGAATAACATTCACACCACCGAGATCATTACCAACCGAGACCTCACCAAAGCTGGTAGCAATCGAAGATGAGTATTCTTCGTCTACTTCGCACTGCGTGCAGTTCGGTCTGGTATGTCTAGATTTCAACAGAACCTCATTCAATGACGCCTGGAAATAACACAATTGGCTCCCATCGTGCTCCTTTGGGAGCTTGGGTTTGAACGGGGCCGGACCGGATCAGGTTAACTTCTAACAAATACCTAGGCCTCCTCCCACCTGAAAGACCAGACCACCATAGACTTGACTCATTTGTTAAATCATGTCAAGCCCAACTGTCCAGAGAACCCGATTTAGCGCGCCGAAACGCAAATTCCTCCTCAAACTCGGCCATCACGCGCCTGAGCCATCGACACCTTTCCAATCACTTATTTTTGCTTTCCGTTCAGACCTTGTCATGCCTCATCCCAGAATCTCTTCACCTCATCCAAGGGTCGTTCTCTTCATTGGATGCCTCATGGTCGCCCGCCGAGGCCTTCTTCATTTTTCCTTCCAGTTTTCTTCTTTCTTCATTACAGCGTCTCTCCAATACTTGTGTTGTTATTACAATCTCATAAGTTTTTTACACAGTCAATCTATCCAGCCGTACCCTCATTCACGGAGGCCGAATAAGGGTCAAACAGCTCAAGACTAGAGCACCAATTGCCTCCACCTTTATCGAATTCTCTAGTGATTAAGCTGGCGAAATATTGTGCGTATCTCGTCGGTGGCCATTCATCGCAGGCTGAGTTTCTGGTGCTCTTGGCTCAGTTGTAGACAAGTATAAGGCCGGTACTTCGATCGTACCTTTATAGCGCACGAAAATTGCTGTGGGATAAATTACCACATGAATCTTGGATGGCGAATATGGCTTTTGGATTTTAGAGAGCTCCGATAGCTATTGATATGATTTTGCAGAAGGTCACGTGATGAGTTTAGAAGGAATAGATCTTTTGGGAAAATTTGAGAAAGTGAAGATTATAAGTTGTTTTAACACGAAAATTAGACAGGTTTTATCCTGTATGCAGTTCATATCTGCAGTGTAAATGATTGAGCTCATTAGCTTGTGCAGTCGTGAAATATCTGCAGGTTGGGTTTTTGACCAGAAAGCTCGCCAACACTACTCCTCTTGATCGCCATCTCTAGGAAAACTCTCGACTAAACCCTTTTTCATGACTGAATTCCGGCACTGGGAGTATGTATCACTCACAGATTCGTCAAGGACGGCACTATCCGTGTTATAATGGAAGTTGGGAAGAGAAGCTTAAGCTGTTAGACTTATATTTAATATCACCTAATGAAGCGAGTTGGCAGATTGAAAAGTCTGAAATCTACAGTGGAGAGTTGTTGATTGAACCTACTTAGTATCAGAGCGCCATTTAAACTAATTACTTTATCTAATTGAAGGACACGATTATGTTGTTTATGCTAAATAATTGGGAGGCTGGTCAATGTATGAACCGTCAAGAATGTATCTAGTGATACTTGTACCTTATTACGTTCCATGTTAATGCGACTCTTCACTACCCAGTAGCGCCAGCTTCGTCAGAAAGGTGTCCGCCTGCATCCTCTGCGCTAGTTTGTTTGTTTTTTTATTATTATTTACATTCGGTCCTAAGCTAAAGCTATATTTTCCACATTGGGTCAAGGACCGGCGGATCCGGCAGGGTTCCCTGTAATCTCTCCTACAGCCTAACTCGTTCCAACCTCGTGAATCGCTACTAAAAGTGCAGCCGATTAACCAGATACGAAAAATCAAGAAAATCAAAACACCTCCGAAAAACAAGAAGATTCCTACTCATTGGACCCAAGCAATGTGCTCCTCACACATTCCGTCGTCCGTCACACCTTCCAGATGACAAATTTGCCCATTCTCCGCTGAGAGCAAAAGATGGGTTTGCAGGCACCTTTGATCCAGCCGGTGTCCTGCTATTGGTTGGTAAATGCCCCAAAAGGGGGCATCTTCGAGGTTGCTATGTCCTCGAACTTCTTCTTCAGGTCCCAGAGCTCCGAAACCTGTTGCCTCGGCCATCGAAACTTCCTTCGCCGCGGCGATGATCGCCTCTTCGGCCTTTTTCGCTGCATCCCTGGCTCCTGCCACCTTCGCGAACTCCCCTTGTTCTATGTGGCGAATCCACGCGAGCTGCTCTTTTGTCACCGGTCCCCCACAGTTACGACACTTGGTGAGGGCCTTGCACTCGGAAGCCGAGTGCATATTTGATCCGCAGTTTCAGCAGGCTGGAGCGCGGGAGCAACCACAGGTAGCGTGGAAGCCCAAACAGCGTTTGCACTGTTCAATTTGTGGACGAGGCTTGTGAATGGTAGCCATACCAGCCTCGTCGAGAATGCGGAAGCCCGGGCAAGGGGTGTTGTCCCGGGTGAAAAGGGCTTTCCAATTTCTGTACGGCGCTCCAGGACGGCATGTCTCGTGCGGTAGCACCCGGGTTGTAAACTGCTGCGTTTTCCTGTACATTTCATATGTTATCCTTTCAGCATTGATCGTACAGATACCGCCGACCGTTCTCATAGTCACTGCAACGTTCGCGATCCGAAAGGCGACAAGGTTGGAGGCTTCCTCGAACTTGGCGTTGAATTCCGCCAACATCGGTGCAGCCTCTAGGAGCTCTTCACTTATTTCCTCATTCCCTGTCAGAATAGCAAAGCCGGTTCTGACACGGTGTATAGTGCAGGCGTCACTCAGGGTGCACTCTAGCTTGATCTGTAGTTGTTGCCTTATTCCGAGAGTCGAAAGCTGGCGCCAAGAGTGCTCCTTTTCCAGGCGAAGGAACAGTCTTTTGTCGACTTTCGCCTTGGGATCTTCTTTATTTAAGGCTTTGGCCGCAGGTCGCGGCACAGCCTTTGCAGTTGGGACTGCTTTCTGTTGCAGTCCATTTTTGGCCACCGTGGCCCAGGTGCTTTTTACAGGCAGCTCTGAGACGGCGGGAGCCCTTGGGAGAGGGTTCGCCAGGCGAGGAGGGAGAACGGGTGGCGTAGTGGCCGGACCCGTGGCCATGTATTGCGCAATGACGGCGCGTAGGTAGACTCTCATCGAGTCTACGAATTGTCTATTTGACCCGTTGGTCAACGGGAGAAGGGTTGCCTCGACGCCGGAGATGGCGGCGGAACAGAGGGCCAGATTTGCTGCTGTTTCGGCGGCGCGTCGTTGTTCGGCCTCGACGATTGGTCGAAGCTCAGGAGGGCATTCTGCTTTCGTGGCAGCTTTGGGCTGCGACGTTGATTTTGACGCTGCTTTGGGTGCAGCGTTTTCCGACGGTTTTGACGCGGTCGGAGGAGACTTTGACGATTCTCCAATCCCGTGGGGACGTAGGATAGCTGTGGAAATTTCTTAACAATTTCAATTGACTCAGTCATATCAGTATCGGGCTCAGCGACGGTGGGAAAGACTTTTTTCTTCCCTTTAGTTGAGGCCTTGCTCAACTCCACGCATTTTGGAGACTGGGCAAGGCCAGGTAGTTGTTCGAGGGCCCTCGGGTGGACTCTCGTGTTGTCCAACTTGGCGTTGGGACGCTTTTTGCGGACTGGAGGCATGGTGAAAATGCCTACGCTCGATCACAATTCAGAAATAAATGCGACGAAGTCGAGAAGGGAGGAGAGAGGGAAAAAATGAATTTTCGAATTTTCGAATTACTCAAATTGATGAAGGGTTTAGTTGTTTGTAATATTTTACGTCTAATTAGAGTAAGCCTTAGCCCTTTGCTCTATACACCCAACCGGGTAAAGGACGCATCCTCCGCGTTAGTAGCTGATGGCTCATCGTGCTGATGCTTAAATGAATATTTTGTATCACGTGCTGTAATATTCCATCAACAAGATAGGCGAGCCATGTATGTGGTTAAGATTATTCACCTAATATTCAACAGCAGTCATAGACAAGGCGAATATAAACAATTAAATTATCACAGTTATATTCTTGTTGAAAATTTTCTTTGAAAAAGCCCAGTTCCAATATCGCAAGGTAATCAACCCTCCACGATACGGTCACTCAAATATAATAATTTTTAAACTTTAGCTACGATATTCTTCAGAATGTCGGCATTCCCGCCTCAACGGACCATCACTTCAATCCCTGTCACCCGAACCACAGCACTTACGTGTCTCTCAGCATATCTCACTTGTTCAGAGACACAGCCCCACCTACTTCCAAATACGCGTCTTGATCCGTCTGGAGGACCTACAGTCGGATCGTCCAAACATTCAGTAACGATACATAATTTGAAAAGAATGGAAGCAGGTCTAAGGGGTGAATGGCTTGCGCCAAGTCTACAATTGGGTAGTGATGATATGGTTTCTTCACCAACTAGGCTCAACCGTGGATTGAAAAAGTCTGATAAAAATGTTTACGATGTAATGGACATGGATGATAATAATATATTTGAGGAGAATGATGCCTCAGAACTTACGGAGGAGCATGTCAAAGACTCACAAGATGTTAATTTGACTCAATTAAATCGCTCGAAATTAATATCAAAGACGAGTGATAATGTTAGAATACTGCCGCCGAATAATAACACCATTGAATTGAGCAAGGAGGCGAGGAAAGCTGAAAAGAAGGCACGAAGAAAGCTCCACAAGAAAACGGCCCAAAATCCTGCACGAGAATGACAAGTTGCTAGCCCAGGTTGGATGTTCATTTACCGAATGTTTGTAACAAAGTCGGAATGTGGGCATTATCGTCAGTGTCATTGTATGCTGATAGATGCCGGCGTATGTCTGTAAACCTACACTAACAGGGAAGATGATCTCAAATGGTGTAGCCCATAGCTTTAAGGATGGGAAGATCAACAACATATATCCACGATAACCTTTATATTGCAACGGATACTACAAATGTGATTTACCAAAATATACTATCGGTTTAAATAGTTCACTAGAAAGTATCTAATAAGTCACAGAACAACAAGAAAAAATCCTACAAGCCGACCCTGTCGGCTGATATCTAGCTGGAGCAAAGTTACCGTGCATGTCATTTGGCTATTTATCTTTCTGTTATCAAGGCAAGACTACTGGCATAATCAGCGCATTAAGTTTCTATCTAGATCTATTCTCATACACACCTTGCAATTAGACATAGATTCTCTAATTTAACTACTTTTCTATAATTACAATCACCTAATCAAACAATATACCGACTTATAAACCTTTTTTCTACCACCTACAATTACAATTGCGCCGCAGAGACACAACGAGAAAACGGCCAAAGCCAGCAGAAGTATCAGCACTCAGCCCATGCTCACATGACTTGAAAAGACCCTCCAACAGGCAGATATCTCAATTAAGCGCGTCAAGAATGATGATCATGTCTGCATTTGGATACCAAAGATTTTACTAACGCTAGCAAGGAAGCTCTTACAACCTCTTGCAACTGTCAAAGTGGCCGAGGGGTATACTTCTCCATGACCCTGGGTCACCCAGTGATAAAGCATCGTGGCAATACTATTGAAGTCGTTAAGATTAACGTTTTGCACTATAAGACACCGAAAGAGGTCTAAGCCATCCAAAGAGCTATATGAAGTTCTGTCAGAGACTCAGAAAATTTTTGGATTTATATTTTGACCTCACTGACCCGTGGCCGACAGCTGAAGGCGCTGTTTAGGCAGCTCTGAGGCACTAATCAAAACTGAAAGAAGAATGTCTTCAAAGACTCTTCACAAGGTGATCACTACCAGACAAGCCTATTCCTGGAATGAAAAAATGGAAAATAACTAGGACGATGAACTTCAAACCAGCCCTGCTCCGTTTGACCGACCAGATAACCTGCCAAAACCACGGCAAAGTAAGACTATTTAGCAAATTTTCTCAAGATATTCCTTTCAATACGGCGGTGATAAGTATGAAGCTCTTGATGACGTCATAATTATTTTCGCCGTGACTGCGATACCAACAACGTTCCCTAACCTGCTCGTGGCTTCTCTTCCACCATGTGCTAGATGCCAAATTTCTGACCCTTTTCAGCTCCAAATTGTGCTATTCTACTAAAAACGACTAATTAGTGATATTTATGAAAGAGTACTTTCAAAAGGAGAGTAGTGGAGAGCAACGTCTACAAAGTTACCTGCAACTACTACCTAGATGTTTACTACACTAAACTGAAAGGTACATTGAACTTCAGTGGGATGATGAACTATCTCTGGTTTTGTTTTTGACAGCTAAATTCGACTATGATGCCATAATACTCTATTAATATCACTACGACGTCAAGTACCCACCTGAAACAGCGCTCCTCTATGCCTACTACGCCTGATAAATCCAGTTATGACGTCCATAGATCGACCGAGAACGTAATGATAATAATACCAACTACAGTGGGTATCATAAAGACAAGCAACGCTAAACTTAATCATACGTGAGCAAAAATCCTGGACTTACTTCTCATAATCATTCTGTTAGGATTAAATCCTAGTCAAAGATTTCTAACTTAATTTTGTTGCGTCGCAGGCTACTATTCTAAATTTTCATGGGGTCACAGTTAAGGATGTGATAAATTTCAGTTTAGTGTTGGTTATTGGAATTATAACTGAGCGTATCGCATATTAAGTTCGCATGTGAATCGAGTGGCAAAACACACGGAAAATACAGTAAAAATGATAGAGCTATTTAGGAAGTGCGATAGGAGCTGTTAGACTCTTGCGATATATCACTTTAGAGGGATGAGGACTCGTGTTGATAGATCATATGAGAATGTGGCAAATTTGTATATTTTTGTTGTTAAAGCAAAGTGGTACGTCTTAGTGTGTAAGAAACACCGAGTTCCTTTTTATATGACTAAGCAGGTACGTCTCATTCTAATTGAGTTCCCCACTTGATACTAAGTTAGAAATGACATGTCCCTACACTTCCACAGATCTCGATTACTTGTGTGGATCGAGATACATGTTGTTGTGCCAGCCACTGTATAAAGAGCGGGTGTGATACATAACTCATCCGACACCTGATTCAGGTGTTTAGGATATATGGCTGCTGCTGGCTAACGCCTTAGCATGGTCTAACTGACGTCATATATTCCAAAAGATACCAGTCCCAAAACGATGATACGAATCAAGTTTTGTATACAAGATCCCATATGGCTAGCGGATACGGAAATTGGGTAATAAACTCGTAGATAGATAAAGATATTATAATACTCTAATGGCTATGACAAGTCTTCTACTAGACAATGTCGGAATCAGGTCTGGCCTCTCGTAGATCATTTTACTAGCCTATGAATAAAGATATAATTACTAAATCGAAATTTTTCAATCCATAATTATTTTATACCTTTTGTCTCATATTTTTATGTCGATAACATAATTACGATGAGCGAGAGACAACTTTCTTAAGGTGTACTGACAATCACGCCAAGAGGTCAGGAGAAGGACGTTCCCCTGAGGCCCAGTATCAGGCTTTCATCTAAGATGCCGAGATCCTGAATGACTACACTTCGAGTGACGAAGATAGCCATATCGAAAAAAATATCTTCATTTCGAAAAGTCGATCCTACATATTTTCATCTCACAGATCCTCTCAATCCACATTGAACTTGTTCTTACGTCATTGTCGGTTTATCACCGGTTCTGGGTAATGTGCTAGCACAAAGATTAGGTAAAATAGTTATTGTTATAAATTTAGATGGACGTCTCGGATTTCTCTGAGCGTGGCCGTAACCAACAGAGGATGGATATAGTAGTCTCAGTCTGAGTCGTAAGTAAAGGTCATATAATAATAATGATGGGCTCTCGAATCAGCTTCCAATACTTGGATACCCACCCGTCTATCTACAACGACTAATATATATACTACATGTTCTTGGTACATTCCTGAGGCAAAACGGACATTTAACGGAATATACTGCTAGTCTGATCAGGGTCATTATACTTTATTGTAGCTGCACGTATCGCCCTCTTTCACCATAACCACCTCAACTATGGTCTTGTCTTGTTCATTTACGTGCTAGGTAAAGTGATTCCCGTTGCACTCTTACTGGAGCTGAAGCACGGGTGGGGCCGGGCTGGATCAGGTTAACTACCATTAAGTACATCTACATTGTCCCACTTGAACGACCGGACCACCTCAGACTTCACCCATGTGTTGAATCATGTCATGCCCAACCGTCCAGAGAACCCCCTTTTGGCGCGCCGAAGCGCAAATTCCTCCTCAGCCTCGGCCACCACACGCCCGAGCCCTTGACACCTTCGCCGTCTGTAACTTCTCCCTTCGATTAATTCGCAGCTTTGGCTCATCTCAGCATCTCCTCATCTCATTCAGGGGTCATTTTCTTCACTGGAGGCCTCATCCAGTCGCCCACCAAGGCCTCCTTAGTTTGTATCCACTTTTAGTTCCTTCATACAGCATCCCTCTGTCCTACAGCCGATCTCATCATCCCAGAAACTTTGTAGAATGTCCACCCCTCCGGCCTTGCCCCGTCGCTGCCGTACCCCTAACCGTGGAGGTCAAAAATATGACTGAGAGCTCAAGACCGAGGCAGCGGTGCCCCAGCCTTTGTCGAATACTCTGGTTGGTATGCCGGCGAAATGTCGTACGTATTCCGTCGGTGGCTATTCGTCGTAGGTCGAGTTGTTGGTGCCCTTGGCCGAGGTGAGGACGCATTTCAGGCCGGTATTTCAACCGTATCCTCACAGCGGCTGGCAGCTACGGAGGGTCGGAAATACTCTTGCTTCTTAGTTGGCGATTTGGCTTTTGGAGGTATGGGATTGCTTAGGTAGGTGGTGAGATGATTGTTGAGAGGACCGCGAGATGAGTTTGGCTAGGAGTGATTTTCCAGAGAAATAGAAAATAAGATCTTGAAGGTGTCGGTTTTTGTAATACGAACATCAGACAGATTATAGGCTGTCTGCGGTTCGTATCTGGGGTGTAGATGGTTGATTTCGTTGAGTTGTGCAGTCGTGAAATCTCTGAAAGTTGGATTTTCGACTAAAGATGAGCCAACACCACTCCTCCCGATCGCCAACTCGACGAAAACTCTCAAATTCACTCTTTGTCGTGACTGAATCCCGGCTCTGGGAGAATATTTCACTCCCAGGTTCGTAGAGGACACCACTGACAGGTGTTCAGCCTTCGTCCTCCACCTCAACTATGGTAACTCAACAATGGTAACTTTTAACAGTTATTGATCATAACGCATATCTGTCTCTATCTATCATGAATAATGAAGGAAAGTAAACCCCAACGCCGCACTGACACCACGTGACTAACATCAATAAATTTCCCCCATTGCCGCTCTACCAACGACAATGCACGACGTTAAATAATAATAAATAAAAAATACCAACGACAATGTCAGGAAGCCGCCATCTGTCTTCTCTCTGATATTCCCACAGCATCCAGCTCAGCGAAAATCTTTCTTTTTCGCAAGCTTGCAGCAAACTGGAAAAGAAGGTCACGCGGCCAAAACACTACGGCTGGGGAAGTGGCCATCCGATGGTGCCCGGGCCACGCAGGTATTCTGGGAAACGAAGCAGCCGACGCGCTTGCCAAAGCTGCTTGTACGGCTCCAGCTCTACACTCGGTATTCTCTATTGCGAGGGCAAGAAGGGAAGTCAAAGCCCAGTACGAGGTTTCCGTTGCACTTTACTGGGCAGAAAAATCTCCATCTAGATATAAAGAAT